AAAAAAAATACACATTGTGCTAGGTGCATAGTTCAATATGAGTGTGGACCCTTGTCCTCAAGGAGTCCCAATCTAATGAAAATAAATAGGGCCAGTTGGTGAACAACTATAAATGAGATGGTTATACCTTGCCATAATGACGAAACTTTATGGTAAGGTATAACCATCTTATTTACAGTTGTTCATGGAGCTATTACTGTTCATCAACAACATGGGGGAAAATTCCAGGCTAAGGGGAAAGCCCAAGTAAGTATTGGAAATGAGCATCTAGCACATCCTTCCTGGTGCCAGTGAAGGAATGCTGCAGTTAAGGGGCAAAGAGTCTCTCAGGCCACCCTGAGCAGTGCACATTCTTACTTTGTTTACTGTAGGACTTCTCAGTCTTTCAGAAATTAAAATGCAATGTCAACCACCTTTCTGTACAGGAAGAGAAAAAAAGAACTGATAAAATCCATAAAAGAACCTTGTCTAGTTGAAGAGGTTTCATTTACCTAACAAAGTCTTAAAGTTTAAAAATTACTCAATTTAATAATTTTTTAATTTATGAGCAATTTTTCTTTATTATAAAAATAACATGCACGTTATGTATTTTTAATGCAGACAAGCAAAAAAGTTTTTAAATAGCCAAAATTACCACTGTTAAATTACCACTATCATTGTTGTTTGGCAGGCCCAGACAGGATTTGAACCTGCCAGCTCTAGTGTATGTGGCTGGCGCCTTGGCCGCTTGAGCTACAGGCGCCAAGCCTGATTTCATGTTTGTAAAAAACAATTTTAAAACATTCATAGACAGTATATAGAAAGTGTGGAAGGTCATTTACCATAGCAAGAAAGAAATATCAAAAAAGAAATGATAAATTTTTAATATTACAAATAAAATTATGAATCTTCAGCTTGTGATACAAGAATTGAAGATTTGGTAACAGGTGGCCACCAATTCAGTATGAAAACAATCCCTCAACATGCATTTGGGGCAGGCACTAAATACACCAAAGTCTCTTCCCTATCACTCCTGAATACAGCTTCTAGAAGCATTTAATTTAGCTGCCTTTAAGACAAAGCAAAGAGAAAGATGCAGAAGATACTCCCATAAAGCTTACTAATCAAACTGAGACTAATGAAAAACATCCACATAAAAAGTATGAAGGATTGAGCCAAGTAGTGGTAGAATGCAAGGAGGGGCATGGCAGGGCCATTAAACTGCTAGAATTGAGAGAAGGGGAAATGACTGAAAGTGAGCAGCACAGGAAAAGGATGAACTAATGATCATATTGACATTTTGGACTCAGTGCCCATAGCTCAGTGGTTAGGGTGCTGGCCACATACACTGGGGCTGGCGGTTCGAACCCAGCCTGGGCCTGCTAAAAAGAACAGTGACAAGTACAACAAAAAATAGCCA